GATATAACGCGGTCCTCGGGAGCCAAAAAATCATACCATGTTATATTGGGTAGGGAACGCTCCTTGTCCCCTGACCGCCCTCTCCCCTACACCAACACCCTCTGCCCTTTATCCAACTCCTTGGCCCCGGCCCGGCACCCTTAACACGCCGCTCAGAGCAGTGTGTCGGAGCCGTCCCTAGAGGGGTGCAGGGCCCGGGACAAGTCAGCCTCCCTGCTAGTCTGCCCAGCGCTCCCACCTGCCACTCGCCTCCTCACCCCACCTACCCAACCACCTGCCCGCCGCTCGACTCCCCGCTAGTCTCCTCACCGTCTGCCCAGCGCGCCTCCGCCCGTCCGCCCAACCGCCGCTCTCCTGCTCGCCATCTTCCCGCTCGCCTGCCTCCTCAGCCCCCTCCTGCCTGTCACTCACCTCCCCATTTGCCTCCTCACCCCGCTTGCCCACCCGCCTCCCACCCCAACACGCCGCTCAGAGCAGCATGTAGGAGCCAGACACACTGATCCGCCGGAGCGCGCAGCCCCGCCGCCCAGAGCGCTGCTTTACTGCCTTATATCCAAATGTGTGTTGTGTTATATTCAGGTAGAGGTGTCTTGTCAGCCCTAAGCATTCACAAATCTTAAGTCGGCACTACAAAAATCACGAGTGGGGTTTACAAATTGTGAATGGCCTAGAGGTTAGCACACTGGACTGAGATTCAGGAGACATGAGTTCTAGTCCTAGCTCTGCCAGTAGCCCACTGGGTGATGTTTGGGCGAGTCGCTGTGTGCCTGAGTTTCCCCATGGGTGTAATGATGCTGCCTTTGTAAAGCAGTTTGAGATCTACTGATTAAAATGTGCTATATAAGAAGCAGGTATTATTATTATTTTGGGAGATTATATTGGCAGATTTTTTCTTAAGCTTTTCAGAGCACTTGAGTCACATTTTCAAGCTTTTCTCTGCAACTGGAAATTTGCAGTGAAATCCTGGCTGAACTGAAGTCAATGGCTTAACTCTCACTGACTTCAGTGGAACCTGGATTTCACCTTTCCTTTTTCTTTTTAAAGACCGCTGAGATTTGCGCCCATTTGCGTGATTCCAAGGGCTCTCACTGTGGCTGGCAGCGTGCAGTGCTTCAGCGAGGGTGGGAGGCTTAGTCCTTTCTGGGCCTGCTCACTCTCTGCATGAGCCTCTCCCCCTGTGGGTCTCCACATTTGGGACCGGGCAGAAGAACTTACCCCACTAAAGGTTAAGGCACTGGGCAAACAGAGCCTCAAAGGGAAGGGCCAGACAGCCCTCAAAAGGAGGAGAATTCTGACCCTAGCCACAGTAGTGCGAGAGGCCACATTGGGACAGGGATGGAGTGGAGATTCATTGACCCCATTCTCCCCCCCACACCCACTCCTCCTGGCCGCAATGAGAAAAGTGGCCAGGGGTGTGTGTGTGTGTGTGTGGAGACGGGAGTGGAGATCCAATCCTCCAGCCCCAGTGAGAGACAAGCAGACATGGAAGAAGTCTGGGGATAGGGCGTGTGTGGGGGGGGAGATAAGGTTGCCAACTTTGTAATATTTAAAAAAACGGACACTCCAGCAGGAGTGCCGGAACCTCCCCTGCCCCATCCCTTCCCCTGAGGACCCGCCCCGCCCCTTACCCTAGGCCACACCCTGCCCCCTCTCTTCGCCCCCGAGGCCCCACTCCTGCCCTGCCCCGTCCCCCTGAGTCCCCACCCCCCGTTCGCTCCTCTTTCACCCTCCCTCCATCGCTCACTGCTTTTCCCCCTCTCTCCCCATCCCTGCGTGGGTTGGGAGGAACTCACCTGCAGAGCCAGGGAGCCGCCCAATGGAGGTAGGAGGTGGCCCTGGCTGAGAAGGGGCTGGTGATGACTCAGCGTCTCCCCGCCTGCAGTAACCAGACTTTGGATGTCCATTCAGTAGATCTGACAGTGTCAGGTCCCCATTTTGACCAGACTTTCCAGTTGAAAACCAGACACCTGCCCACCCTAATGGGAGTGGAGAAAGGGATAATGTAGATTTGCTCCATAATGTCTCAGTCCAGCCCCAGGGAGCTATACAGCCACTGAAGGGGAGTAGAGATGTGTTGCAGAGAATGAGTTTTGGTAGGGCTGTTTCCCGTTTCCAGCCACTGGGCACAGACACAGCGAAATCCAGCAGGGAGATGGAGTCTGCAAACATGAGGGCTGGTGCATTTCCCAGTTGTTCAGCCGGTTCTATAATGTCTCTGATTTCATGTTTAATTGCCTTTGTTTGTCGTTTCCTCTCGTTGGCAAGTTATTTGACCCTCCTCTTGTTCTGCTCTGCACAATGTTTTGCCACCGTCTTTTAATTATGATACAATTTCCATATACAGCTCCTGCGATTACATTGTGTTTACACAGTCCTGATGTTACCCTGTGTTTTTCATTGGCGTACATGGAGTGCCGTTTAGCATTTGACCCTGGCATCGCAATGTGGTTTATACAGACTTTTGCTGGCATCGCCTCAGTTTGTTCTCCGCCAAAATGTGCTTTTCTTGATGTAACTTCGTCCTTGGCAAGTTCTATATAAAATAATCGACTTTCACGTAGACCATGAAAAAACACCAGGGAACTTAAGCTTTACAAATATTAGAACTGATCCTGGAGTAGTTATTGCATAATTTCATCTGATTTTTTTTTAAGGGGGAGGAGGGAATGGATGGTGCCTTTTTTGTCTCCTGTTGGTGTTGGGGGGAGGCGTAGGGTGTCCAGATGTCCCAATTTTATAGGGACAGTCCCAATTTTGGGGTCTTTTTCTGATATAGGCTCCAATTACTCCCCACCCCCTTCCCGATTTTTCACACTTGCTGTCTGGTCACCCTAGGGAGGAGGTTGGGGGGGAATCTATAAAGAAATCCTGAAAGTTTTGGTTTGTGTTTTTTGTTTAATTCAACTTGTGTTTTATTTTGGAAAATATAGACCCTGCTCCTGCCCCCACTGAAATCAATGACAAAACTCCTCAGCTCCTAGCGGTCTGAGTCTTCTAGCTTTCACAACACATTGCTTGGTCCACCTTTCACCCTTACCCATAAAGGGATGATGACTGGGTAGGACTGGACAGTGGTGGCATGGGACTTTGGTGGCAATTTTGTGGGTGGATGGGATCGATTAATCTTTGTTTTCTGTACATTGTCACTGGGTTTTTCAGTTTGGTCCTGGGGTAACTGGTGGGTCTGTTTAATATTGTGTTAATAAAATACATCTAGGGCACCCAGAGCATTGAGTGGGCGTTATTTTATCAGTCCAAATAAATTAACAAAATAAATATTGACTTTAATGGTACAGAATTAGGCCCATGAGGAACATCTTGTGTCTTCCCTCTTCTTTTTGGAGATCCATAAACCTGGGCTTGGGGAATTTTTCTATACCCCTTTATTGAAGACACAGGGGTCGGGCAGGAGCTTAAATCTGTGAGGAAACTGCTGAGCCGGCCTAGGTCAGCGGAAGGCAGTGTGCTGAATCCACTAGGAGCATATCGGCTCAGAAGGGGCACAGAAAAGGGGATGTTCTGTGGCAGCTGGAAGGGTGGTGAGTGAGGAGTGGCCAGAGGGGATCTGGGAGAAGCAAGGTGTCAAAGGAAGTAGGTGCTATTTGAGAACCACTGGGTGCTAGAGCACTAGGGCCTGAGTTGTGGTATGCAGAACATGCTCCCAAGGGCTGATTCAGGACAGAGGTTGGTGGCCACAGCAAGAGGCGGGTGGAGATGACACCTCTCTCACAAGCCCTATTCAGGGCTCGTCTTCCCACAAACCAGATAAATCCTGCAACGCACTGACAGCCTTCCACCCTCAGTAAAGCCACTGGGTGTGGAGGGCGGCCCGCGCCTCCCAGCAAGCACTCAGCAGCACACAGTGTGTCAATGCCTCCCCTGTGAGGTGCAGCACGCTCTCGACTCCCGCTGGGTTCACTCGGAGTTAGGAGCATCCGCACCTTGAGAGAACAGGCCCCAACCGTGGCTCGGTAACCCGCAGTGACCCTGGTGTTCACTAGCTCCGGGGGGTCACAGGCTGAGGACAAAACTGTCAGCTGCATGTTTTCGCTGCTGGTGAAGTCAAACAAGTTCATATGATGAGGGCTATGTACTTTTATTTGGGATTTTAAATCAGATGCACGCGGGGTCTGGATCTGCACACCAGAGCTGGAAGGTGTCAATTTAATCTCAGACATCCCCACGCCAGCTCTGTTCAAGCCAGTGCACTAAAAACACCGCGGCGGCTTAGGCAGCAGAAGGGGGCTAGCCGCACATGTGTGTACCTAGGGGCTCAGACGGGAGCATACGTGCAGCGGCTAGCCCATACCGACGCTTGCACCACGATGGCTGACGCTTCTGTTTTTAGCGCACTAGCTCAATCAAAGCTAGCACGAGCTGCAAATGCTGCCTCCCAACCCCAGCATAGACATACCCACAGTTACTAGAAAACTGGTCACTCTCTCTGTCCCAAAATTTGCTCACCCCATGTTTAAAGCATAACAGCCCTGCCTTGTATTAAACATTTTGCTGTAACTATATGACACTACAATATAGCAGACACCTCTGATGGCTACCTTAACAATTTGGAGCAGAGATGGTTCTATGCTACAAAATTTGGATCCAGATCTGGATTTCAAATGTCCGAAAGGTTTTGGATCTGGGAGTGTGGTATAGACCATTATAAGGATGGAGACGATTTGTGAAATGCAGATACACGTTCAAATTCCAATCCTTCCTCGTTAGCTCTGAAAGTCTGGGGGTAATTCAGTTTCGGGAGTTTCTGGATCAGACTTATCACTAATATAAAATACACCTGTGCAGGAGTCAGCTAGATAAAGAATAAATGTTCATTGATGGTTCTGATATCGATACTTCTGCATTTCTCTACTCCTCGAGATTTTTGTAATGTGTTGTACATTACTTGCTCCCATACCTGCCCCGTGACAATAAAGTAGTGAGTGAGTGACATTCTCAATCTATACTATTGTTTGACTCTGTGGATTTGTGTCTTCTGGCAGGTGTGTCCTCTGTGGCGTCCCTGATGTCCCTGGCTTGGGTGCTAGCCTCCTATCACAAGCTTCTTCGGGACTCTAGGGATGACAAGAAGAGTATGAGCTACAGAGGGGCCCTCATACATCTCTTCTGGCGCCTCTTCACCATCTCATCCAGAGTTATCTCTTTTGCCCTCTTTGCTTCCATCTTCCAGCTCTACTTTGGGATCTTTGTAGTGGTCCACTGGTGTGCCATGGCTTTCTGGATCATCCATGGTGGGACTGACTTCTGCATGTCTAAGTGGGAGGAGATCCTCTTCAACATGGTGGTAGGGATTGTGTACATTTTCTGCTGGTTTAATGTCAAGGAAGGGCGGACTCGATACAGAATGTTTGCATATTACACTGTAGTCTTGACAGAGAATGCTGCCTTGACGCTCCTTTGGTATTTTTACAGAGATCCTACAACTACTGACTCATATGCCGTGCCAGCACTGTGTTGTGTCTTTCTTAGCTTTGCTGCTGGGATAGCTTTGATGCTCTTCTATTATGGTGTGCTGCATCCCATGGGGCCGAGAGCTAAGATTTTTGCCAGCTCCTGTTGCGCCGAGCTGCTCTGGGGCATTCCTTTGCCTCCTGATGTTGAGCCCATGGCACCCGAAACCCCTGGGTACCGGGGGGCCCAGGCTACGCCTACCAGAGCGGTCACGGAGCAACAGGAGGAACTCACAGCTGACACTTGCTTGCCAGTTTTCCAGGTGAGAGCAATGGTGCCATCTACTCCATCTGGGCGAGCCTACTACCCAGAAGGCCCTCTCATTAAGATTGACATCCCAAGAAAGAGATACCCTGCATGGGATGCCCATTTTGTAGACAGGAGGTTAAGAAGAACTATCAACATTCTCCAGTATGTCACCCCCACAGCTGTAGGTATTAGGTATAGAGACGGACCTCTCTTGTATGAGTTGCTACAATATGAGTCTTCACTTTAAAGCTCCTTTAAAAAAAAAAAAAAGAGGGGATCTTATTTTTGTTTATGGTAAACACAGATCATGAAACAAACACACACCTTCAGATAAGCTTTCTTTCTGGCTGCTGTATGTATAAAAAAAAAAGATAATCTCTATGTTTTGTAAGTAAAAACAAAAAGAAAAACTTTTCTTTTGTTTTTTACACACAAGAAACAGTATTTCAACTTCCACACCTACGATCCACAGGTGGAGAAGAGGCGTCTCCACGTCACAGTTTTATACCTTACACCCAGTGTAGAACATTATATATGGGATTGGTGCTGATTGAAAAATAAAAACAAACAAACAAACAAACCTACAACTGCCTTATGCCCTTAGGTGCTGAGTTTCATTAAGTACTGTCACCTTTCTCATGCAAAACTCTTGGGTGATTTTATGCCAGGAAAAAAATAAAAAAACCTAAATACAAAACTTAAAAAAAAAAAGATGAAAAAAAACAAAAAGAAACGAGAAAAGAACAAGAAACCTACAAAAGGTATTGCTGCTCTTATTGGATATAGGTGAACAAGAACAACGTCTAAAGATGAGAAAGCAAAGCAGAAAAGCCCGAAAAGAGTTTGAATCTCAAATGGTTGAAAGAGAAGATCAGGGCTGTAACACAATTTGGCAACGTGTTTATAACATAGCTTGTTCCCACCTCTGCAGGCCAGACCAAACCATGTTATAAATGTAATCCCCTGATCAAATTGTTGCCTTAGTGTAAATGGACCATATGTGAGTTTGCACCAAATTCACAAAAGAATACCATACCTGATCTCACTCACCACAGTTTTATCCAGTGTTAACTCCATTGATTTCAATGGACTTACTCCTGATTCGCCCTGATGTGAGTGAGCCCAGAAAAAGGCCTTCCATCTTGATTTCTGGAAAATAACGAATCTGCGTTCTTTAAATTATTCACCAAAAATATAATACTAAAGTAGATTTACATATATCTAATAAAATATTTCAGTAATAATAAAACTCAGCATAGTAGCAAAAAGAGAGTCAATTTAAAGGCACAATACTTGATCGGTGACTGGCAAAATAATTTGACCTATTATATCATTTTAAGGCTGTGAAAAGGCATACATGTATTATTTGTAATATTGTGTAAGGCCTGTTATGTCTCCTTCAGTGTGAGCCTTAAAGTGATTGTAAAGCATTCTTTGTTTTGTTTTTTGTTTTTTTTAAAGGAAAACAAAAAAGAAAATTAGGATAAAATCTTCAAACAGTAATAACCTGTAACTGACGCTTTTCTAAAGATGATTTGGTGCTTTGTATTTTTGTTGATGTTGTTGTTGTGATTTAGCTGAGAATTGTTCAACTCACTTGGTGCATTCGGGGAACCGCTGATAAACGTTTTATGTCACCTTCCTCTGTAAGTACGTGGCAAGAAATAACACCACAGGAAATCGAGAGCGTAGCAAGGTCATCACCGTTTAGCTTAAGAGTTCTCACTGCAAGGAGACACTTCCACCTCCATTGATGGCAAAGCTTTAGAAGGATATCTGCTAGAGGTCTGAGACATTTCCAGATAATCTTTTTGGTGCGTGAAGGTTTACATTTCTTTATTTCTGTGTTGAAGTTTCTTTGTTTTGAGTTAAATCATAGGCGGTGTATATGTAATACCATTTCTGGTTTCAAGAGTATGCTCCTTTAAAAGAATATTCCCGTTCCAGGGCATTTTTTCAATCCCACCATCCCTCTACTTGTGGGGGGGGAAACAACAACAACAACAAAAGATATTTTTAAGTGAATACTGTAGTATTTTCTCTGTGTGATTGCAATTTTTTATTCCAGAAATACTGTAACTGTCTAGGGTGCAAAATTCCCATGTTGAACTCTTCTGAAGAGAAAATCAACATGGGGAAAAGATTTTTTAATTATGATTATGATTTTTTTATTTGATGAATCCTTTTTTTTTAATGACAGTAGGTATTTAAAGAAACTAGTACAAATTTTATATAATAGTTTAAAAAAGCTGAATGCTTTCTTCGCCTGAATATACCTGAATGGAAACATTTTTTTCAATCAGTGATGCTTTGCAGTGTTCTGAGTGGGGTTTTTGGTTTTTTTTAAATACCATTCAAATATTTCACAGGCTCTTCTAAGGAGGGCAGGGCTTATTTACGCCAAACTACAGACACACGGCAAAGTTTATAAAAAGCCAAATTGTCACAGGTACTGTAATTCCCAGTCAGTTAAGCTCCATTTCAATTAAATGTTTCTGGGCTCTGATTACAACCTGTCTGATAGTCACATTTTCACACGAAGGGCGGGCTTCGTAGTATCTGTGCCTCACCCTAATTAACGATCGGTTATTTTGTCTGAAGAGATTTCATTTACCTTTGTCGTTATTTGTGGACCAGAATCATATCCCTTGTCAGTGGCATCACTTCATTTTCATTGCATATCTTCTCTAATCCGTGTGACGTCTCCTGCTAAATGAGGTAATTTGTGAAGTGAACTTAACGAATGATATCCGCCTTCAGGTGGCACGTTGCACGTTCCACTATTATAATGAGGACTGGGCACACTAGAGAGGCACGTGGACTATCCATTATCAGTGCTGGTTCTGCAACGTGACCAGCCATTTCATCTTCTTACTATATACTAATCGTTTTTCTCAAAGTACTTACCTTAAACATTATTATTAGCGGTTTACGCTAATAGACTGTGATTCTTTACTCTATACATCATCTTCTTTGTAAAGAAGTTCCTCCTTAAATATGCAGCTCTTCTCTACATTTGAGCCAGTTTCACAGGCATAGTCATTAGAGATGGGAAAGATCTTCTCTGTCACCTAGTCTGTTGTTCCAAAGGAGCGGGGAGTGGTGGTGGGGAGAATCATGAGGAATTCTAGTGCTCTGTCTCAACCTGTTTTAAAGGCTCAAATAAGGGGGCTTCCACCATTTCCATTGCAACTAAGTCTCAAGTTATGGAGCACCCGGTATCTGGCAATATCGCAAGTAATCTGATGGCGTCTCTCCTCTCCCTAGACCCCATCTACCAACTGAGTTTTCCAAGAAGTACCATCCTCATTTCTGTTAGATAGCTAGATCTAGGTTCAGAAAAGAATATGCGCGTCACATGGGCTGGTTTGGAAGGCTGCTTCTCTTCATCATCCCAACCAAAAGATCTAATCCTCCCACTCCTCTCGGCACAAGCAGCCCCCTTTCAGTCCTGGTGACTCCCCAAGCCAGGAAGGAATAAAGGACGAAGCCCTAATGAGTTATCAAACCAGCTCTTGAAAATGTTCAGTGATGGCGCTCTGACTGCCTCCCTTGGTAACCTGTTCCTAGTCCAAACGACCGAGACCTTTGAGACTTTGATTCTTTACGCTGTACATTGGCTTTGGCTCCCCAGGGCTGCACAAACCATATTAATTCCTTGTGGAGGTGCTATTCAGGTCTGGCAGGGGGGAAGGGGCGCAGTTCTCCGCCCGTGGTTCATACCTCATTTACCCCCCTTACTCCTCTGGAACGTGAGACCCCTGCATGCCTTCCCCCCATCCCCCAGGTCATGAGACTGGACTCCCCCCTCTCCCCGCGACAAGAAGACACAGGAGTTCCTGGCTGGTTGCAGCGGTGGGCGGGGCACTGGATCTGAGGACCTGCCTCCTCCAACTCCAGTGACTCTAGCAACCAGTTGGGGCTCACGCACCCAGTGGAAGTCCCCCAGCCTGAACAATAGGATGGTGCCCCCCCCCCCAGCTCCATGAGCGGACAGACACAGGGATGAACCCCCACTGAAAACTGCCCCTTCCCCTCCCCTTGAAATGGCACTCCTGCTTCCTTGGACCCTGATTCAGCAAGGGCCTCACGTTAAGCAAGCAAATACTCTTATCTGACGCTCCTGAAGTTAGGCACGTGCTTAAGAACCTTGCTGACCGGGGGCCTTAGTTCTGCGGATTGCTGTGAGTTCGCTCTGACGTTATTATGGTAAGTCTCTTCACCCTACCCCTCCTTTACCCAAGCCAATGGCACAGTACTGAACAGAATCCCTTTGTTAATACCGAACCTGGTGCCAATCCACTTAGGGTGACCAGACAGCAAGTGTGAAAAATTGGGACGAGGGTAATAGGAGCCTATGTAAGAATAAGCCCCAAATATCGGGACTGTCCCTATAAAAGCGGGACATCTGGTCACCCTACAATCCTTCGCCTTCTGCTCCAAAGTGCTTCTCTTCTCCCAAGTACCCTTTGCTTTTGGTGTCCACTTCATTGCTGGGTTTGGTTTGTTTTTAATCCCCCTGCATCTCTGTGCTATACCTAGTAGATTAGTTAGCACTGTTCCCCCCCCCCCCACTCCTCCCTCCAGCCTCTCCAGAAAAAACGTTTTAAAAAAAATATGCTGCAAAGAGCAAAGTTGAATCCATTATCGTTCAGAGATCGGTTAAAGTTTAGAAGGCTCCAGACAAGCGCAATCAGAACGATGAATTAGTGAGTCTGTATTGATCTGGCATGCTCATGTGGAGTTGCATTTGTATACGCTCTGTCTCCTTCTACTGGATCAAGTAGGCCAGCTCTGGTCAGGTTTATATCTGTTCCCTCCACTGGTGCAGTTCACAGAACATCTTTTAGCTCCGAGCCTGTGTTCTTTAGTCCTGAGGATCATCCGTTCTATTAACGATGCTGACAGCTCTGGTGGGTTTATGTCTGTCTATCTCTAGCGTGCCCAGTATCTGCATGCAGCTAACTTGAAGATGTGAATGGTTCAGAACACTCCAAACCAGCAATGGAAATACAGGCATTGGCCCAGCGCCAGGTCATGCTTTGCCACACATATAAGATTTGGATTCATTCTAAACCTACCCAAACCAAATTGTAGCCGTGCGGCTGCGTTACATGATTGCCAATAGACAACGTTAGCAAAACACTGATTTAAAGGTAAATATTTGTAATAGCTTATTTGATCGGGGCTAATTATCCGCGTCGATTCATTCATGGTGTCTCCCGCTGCCGAAAGCGGTGAGCAGTTTTGTATTTTAAAAAGCGGGCTAGGTGCAATATCACAAAAATGCCCACCTTCAAGCTTAATCTTCCATTTGGTAGAGATTATAAACGTTATCCTCACAATGAAGAGGAAAATGTTGCCATTGACTTCAATAGGAACAGTCCCCTGCTCTTCGCTCACGATATGATTTAGTTCTTTTGAGCAGGGGGTTGGACTAGATGACCTCCTGAGGTCCCTTCCACCCCTGATATTCTATGATATCTTTAAAGCGTGAGATTCACTTCACAATTTATCCATGTTTCCAGTCCTTGCACGGGACGGGCAAGAAAACAACCATCACCAACACCCCTGTAGCATGATCAACCACCTTCAGAAAATGTGGGCTAAGGTTCGCCCGGCACGGTTTAATTGAAGCCTAGATATGCTTTGAAAAGGAAAACTTACTACTGTACATCTGTGAAACCTTCTAGTGCCTGCTTGCTGTGCCACTTTTGCAGGAGGCCATTTGGAAGCTGCCAGGGTCAGTGGAAAATTGTAGAGACAGGCTTTTCTGTGACACTTAGTCTTTTGTTTGCTTCGTTTTCTGCTGGACTCTGTTCTAGTCCAATTGGGTCACAACAAAAATAGATCTGCTGAAGGACGATCATGTAAAAACCAAGGTGGTGGATTTGGGACGTTTTCTGGATCGCTAGAGGGTAGAGGGGATGTGAGCTCACTTGCAATCTTTTCTACTGCTGCAGATTGCATGCTGTTATTTCAACAATTGTCCACGGCCCTGGCGTTTCTTGGGGCGGGTGGTAGCCTGGGGTGATGACTGTTCTGTGGCTGGGGTTCCCCTTGAAGCTCAGGTGTATTCTGGTGTCGAGAGTCTCAGCCAGGGGTGAATTAGGAGGTTTAGAAGCTATCCCAAATAAACGTGGGCAACTTTTCACTGTGTGCAGAATGCATTTCCAGACCATCAGGTAGCGATTCTTGCACTTTTTCCATGAGCGCATTGAGAATTGTTTTGTTGTTCTGTGTTTAAACTTGGAGATACCACTCCGGTAACACTTTTCTGTTGGGGAAGGCGGGAGCCATCGCACGGAACAAAATATCGTCTGTGTTCAGCCAACGTTCATGACTTAAAGTTTGAGCACTAGGGACGTTTGATGTCGTGTTAAATAAAAAGATCTCTAGACAAATGAAATGGCAGATAGCTGCATATGTTCCCACTGGATCTTCATTTATGATGAGGTCGACAATTTATGCCCTCTAAAGCACTAAAAATAATTCTGAGTAAGTGATCTGGCCCACAAAATACATAACTCAATTGGAAGCTGTAATAAAAACACATAATTTTGTTGAGATAATGTGGAGGTTTGTTTCCTGTTGTATATTAAAAACATTTGCAAGCTGTCAAAAATGATCTGAGAGTATAAACAGTACTTCCTATCCCTTTGGGACACATGCAGCAAGGTAGCTGTCTTGACAAACCCGGGACGTTATAACATGCTGAGTTATTTGGAGTTATGTATTGATTTGTTTGTTAGATGGTTTTATAAGGCCAGGGTGGAGAGGGAACATGGTGTAAAAATTATAGCAGATGATGGGGTGACAGGACTCTTGGGCGTTATTCCCAGCTCTGCCACAAACTTGCTGTGTGACCTCGGGCAAGTCACTTAACCTTTCTGTGCCTACAGTTTACCCATCTGTAAATGGGTATAATAATACTTACCTACCTCACAGGGGTGTTGTGAGGCTTATGTAATCATTTGTGAAGCACTTTGACGAAAGGTGCTATGAAGTGCGAAGTATTATTATTACTGGGTTTGTGTTATCAGAAATGGAAGTGCAAAGGTTTTTTACAACTTGCTAAAGGGAAACAGAATTATGCAGTACATATGTGCATCCAGAAAGCTGGCTTAAGTCTTTTCTCTCCCCAGCTGCAAGGAGTTGAGGCTATTGCATGTAATCTAAATATGGAACCCTTGCTTTCTTGATCATATGTAATAATATCTTCCTAGCACTGTTTGCAATATTATTTTTTTACACAACAGGTGATTCATTTTTTCTCTCTCTCTTTATGGAAACTTGAAACTAAAAGTCAGTGAAATCATTTAGAAACTGAACAGATTACTAA